GGAGCAGAGGTGGTACGATTACAACAGAGAGAGAGAGAGAGAGAGACCAGTACTCACACTGAGATGCACCCAACCAGGGGGTGAGCTATAAAAGAGCTAATGTGGTCTTACGGCTTTGCACACATTACTCCAAATGTGGTCTAACCAAGGTTCGGTATAATTCAACACCAGGTCAGTGTTATATTCTATCCAGAGGGATAGCCAGAGGACAGAATAGCAAAATAATGGAGTATTTTGTCTTTTATAATGGAGTAAATCATTTTATAATGGAGTAAATAATGGAGCAAAACATTTGGAGTATTGTGTGCAATTAGAATAATACAATAATAATAATAATCCTTGCATTTGATATAGAGCCTTAACACGTCTTCGAGACGTCTCACAGAGCCTCTTGTAAAGTGTAGTGAACTGTGTATTTTGTGGGCGAAACCCGGCAGCCAATTGCGCACAGCAGCGTCCCACAAACTGTCGTGGATTGAGTGGCCAAATTATAATTTTTTTTTGTTGTTCTGGTCTCCACACGACAGGAAGGATATAACAGCGATGGAGAGAGTACGGCGTAGCTTTATGAGGATGATACCAGGGTTACTGCTATCAGGACAGACTGGAGAGGTCGGGCCTTTTTCCCTGGAGATATTTAAGGGGAGATCTAATTGAGGTGTTTAAAAATTCTAGCAAGGTTTGATAATGTTAACATAAATAGGCTGATCCCACTGGCCGGGGAACCTGTAACCAGGGGACACGAGTATAAGAGAGCGGCTCAGGGAGCCAAAGGACGAGCTACTTCACACAGAGAGATAGTGAGGTTGTGGAACTCGCTGCCTGAAGCAATGGCGGAGTCAGATCAACGTAGATACATTCAAGAGGAAGCTAGACTTTCACACGAGGGAGACATGTGGGAGGGAGGAGTGGGTGAAGGCTCGTGCGGAGTATATAAACACCAGCACGGACTGGGTGGGTCGAGTGGTCTATTTCCAGGCTGTACAGTCTGCGTAAATCTCTTGTTTCTCCCCCAAACTATACAGTCATTGAACGTTACAGTATAGTTTGTGTGTCGCAGACATGAAAAGGCGCTATATCAAATGCAAGTTTTATTATTATTATTATTATTATATCTCTGTCTCTCTCTCTCACTATCTCTCCCCAGGAGTGTGGACGCACAGTGTAGAGCTTTACTGTGTCTCTAACCCTGACCTGGGAGTGTGGACAAACAACGTAGAGGAGCTTTACTCTGATCTGGGAGTGAAGACAGACAGTATAGAGGGAGCACAGTCGGAGGGGGTGGGGGTGCCGTGGGAACGGGAGGGCATGAGGCACAGAACACTCAGAATCCGAGTGAAGGTAGAATCAGTAATAGGGAATCAGACAAACATCTGAAAAGGAAAGTATAAAAAGGCCTGCGACTGATCTCCTCGATCTCTCGCCCTCGGAGTAGGATCAAAAGGTGTTGTTTATTTATATCGATGCCTTTGACTTGCACACGGGGGGGAGGTATCAAAGTTTGCAGACCATACAAAACTCAAAGGAGAGTGAATAGCAATGAGGACGGTAGAGACTGCGAGAAGATTTAAACAGAACAGAGAAAAGGGCTGACAAGTGGCAGATGAGGTTCAATAAAAGGGAAATGCGAAGTGATTCACTTTGCTTTAAAAAATGAGGGAAAGGAGTACCTGGGGAAAGGTAAGGTCTTGCCAGGAGCTGAGGGTAGGTGGGAACTCAGGAACACGGGCCATTGAAAGTGACGTTGCACATGACAAAAGCTGCCCAGGAGGCTGATTGCTGTTGGGTTATACACTCAAAGCGGAGAGGATAAAGGTAAAGAAATAATGCTGTTCATTTTCAGCGTTGACCCACCTTTTGGCTACTGAGGGACTCAGACCAGATTTGAGAAATATCTGCGGGGCACAGAAGCAATATTTTTGTGTCTCTCTCTTCCAGTAACATAACATAATATTGATTCAGCTACTGTTTCATATGGGAAGGGACGCCTTAAAGCACTCGACGCTGTCAGCTGGGGCACCTGAGCTGGGGTGGGAGGTGAGGGAGGTGCGGGGGAATGGGTGGGGAAGGGACATGATGACCGAAAGCACGGTCAAAGAGTTAGCTCCTCATGCGTCTTGAACGAGGGGAGGGGAGCGAGCGAGCGAGCGAGCAAGGCAGGCGGACTCCGGGTATGGCGCTCAGAAAGGCGCAGGGGGCAAAATGGCAACGGCGGGGCAGGTGGGAGGGGGCGGGAGAACCCATAAGCAAAGTGTTTGCTGATCAAAGGGAATGGTCGGGTCGGAAGATCACAGAGATATGGTGGGAATGGGGACAGGGGGAAACTTTCCCTGTGTGTTGGCCAACAATTCCCCAAAACAATTTGGTCGCTCCACTCTATGACTGTTTGTGGGACACAACAACAACAACTTGGATTTATATAGCGCCTCCACGCACCGGACGGCGTCTCAGAGCGCTTCACCAGTAACGGATCCCGGGGCCGAGCCGGGGGGAGGGGGGGCAGCCAGGGGGAGGGGGATTCGGTGGGATCCCAGGGGAGGGGGGAGCCAGGGGGAGGGGGGAGCCAGGGGGATGGGGGAGAGCCAGGGGGAGGGGGGGAGCCAGGGGGGGAGGGGGGAGCCAGGGGGAGGGGGAGGGGGGAGCCAGGGAGAAGGGGGGAGGGGGAGTGGGGAGAGTCGGGGGGGGAGGGGAGAGGGGGGAAGGTGACCAAACGCTCGGTCGAAAAGAAAGGTCTTCAGCAGAGACCTGAAAATAGGAAGGGAGGGAGCGAGGCGAAGGGAGTTCCAGAGCCTCGGGGCATAGTGGCTGAAGGCACGGCCGCCGAGGGTGGAGCGGAGGACTCGGGGGACGAGGAGGAGGCCAGACCCGGAGGAACGAAGGCAACAGGTACTTTGCTGAGGAGAGAGGAGGTCAGAGAGGTCGGGGGTGCAGAGAGTGGAGGGACTTGAATACGAGTGAGGATCTTGAAGTGGATCCTCTCTGGGACAGGAGTCAGTGCAGTCTGACCAGGACTGGGGGGGAGAGCGGGGAATTACAAAGATTGCAAGGATTATTATTATTATTATTATATACAATTTGTACAAGTTTACTTGTTACTTAGACTTTGCATAAGTTGTATTAAAAGTTATGGTCTCTGCCTGAAACAACTCTTAGGGGAGTTTCACTGTCTATATGATAACTTTCTAATTATGATAAAAGTCTTTGCCAAAGTCCTGGAACACATTGTTGCAGGTCAACTTGGGTCACACCTCTCCCTCCGCTCCCTCCTCGAGCCCCTGCAGTCGGGTTTTCGCCCTCACTGCCCACAGCAGAGACAGCGGTTGTCAAACTCCCAAACGACCTTCTCTCTATCTGTGACCAGGGCTCCCTCTGCCTTCTGGATCTCTCTGCCACGTTCGACACAGTCGACCACACCAACCTCCTCCATCGGCTCTCCTCCCTCATCTATCTTAGTGGATCGGCACTTGCATGGTTTTAGTCTACTTAACCAACCGCCTTCATTTCATTTCAGCAAATGGTATCTCCTCCCGCACCCACCCGGTCACCTGTGGGGTACCCCAGGGCTCCATCCTTGGCCTTTTCTTTTCCTCATCTATATGTTCCCTCTGAGCGATGTCATCCCAGACACGGGGTAAACTTCCACATGTATGCGGATATCACACAAATTTACTTTGCCTCTTCCAGTACCAACTCCAGGTCCGCCAATGTTCTATCAGCTTGTCTGGCAGACATCAAGGCCTGGATGAGTGTAAACTTCCTGCAGATGAATATGAACAAGACGGAAGCCATACTCCTTGGTTCCCGTCAACGTCTTCACTCCTGCGGATCTGAACTCCTCAACCTCCCTGGGCTTTCCCTCACACTCACCAAACCAGTGCGCAACCTAGGCGTCCAGTTCAACCCCTAACTGTTCTTCCTCCCCCACATCCGGTCCCTGACCAGGACCACTTTCTTCCACCTCCGCCACATTGCCCGTCTCCAACCATCCTTACCCCAAATCCAGCCAAATCCCTCGTACATGTGTTTGTCACCTACCGTTTGGATTACTCCCACACACTTCTCGCCGGTCTCCCTAGCTCCACCATTCACAAGATTCAGTTCATTCAGAACTCTGCTGCCCACATATTGACCCGGACCAAACTCAGTACCCACATCTCACCAATTCTGGCCCAGGCTCCATTGGCTCCCCATCACCGAACAAATCAACTTCACCACTTCACTCTCGTGTTCAAATCCATTCACTCTCTGGTTCCTCCCTCCCTCTCCGACCTCCTTACTCCCCAATCCACCATCCAGCGCCTCTGCTCAACCGGTACCCTCCACCCCACCATTGGCGGCCATGCTTTCAGTCCCAAAGCTCTGGAACTCTCTCCCCCAATCCCTCCGTCTTGCCCCCTCCTCCCCATTATCAAATCCTGCCTAAAGACCTTCATTTTTGATCGTGCTTACAGTCACCTCTATCCTCCCTCTCCCCCCGGCTCGGGGTCAGACTCCGCCACTGTTAAGCGCTCCAGAACACTACCCGGCATGAAGGGCGTTATATAAAGGCAAGTTGTTGCTGTTATTTACACTGGAGCAGGGAAGGAAGAAGGGGCCTGATAGAGGAGGCCACCATTATGAGGGGTTGAGAGGGTGAATGGGGAGAAGCTATTCCCACTGGTCGGGGAGTCAGTGACTGGAGGCCACAGGGATAAGATAGACATAAGAGCAAAAGGAGAGTTTAGGAGAGATTTTTCACACACGGAGTAGTTGGGATGTGGAGCACCCGACCAGTAAGCGGTGAAGACAGAGTGCCTTCCGGAAGGAAGTATACGGGGACTTGAAAGATAAGAGGGGCTCGAAGGGGTGTGAGGATAGAGCAATCTCCGCACTCTGTGAGCCGGTATGGACTCGATGGGCTGAATGGCCTCCTCCTACACTGTAGATTTCTATGTTCCTGTGTTCACATGACAGAGTGTGAGTGTGTGTGTGAGGGGGAGTGAGGGGGTGGAGGGGAGAGGCCAGGGAGTGAGAGTGACAGAGAGCTGTCACAGGGACCTTGTGTGGGAGGTTGGCCTGAAGGCTTCCCCCTGAGATGTGACAGGTCTCCTCAGCGTCTCAGGCGGGAGCTGTGATCAAAGAGCTTTTGAAGCTTCTCTCAGCTCAGGGCAGCATCTGGGCTTCTCTCCGTCAGACGCAGGACACACGGCCTGGCAGCGAGCCCAGCACACGCAGGACAGGGAGGGCGGTCTCCATTATTAATGGGCTTACTGTTTGGAGTCCTGTAGCTCAGTGGTTAGAGCCTCGCAAGCGAGAGGACCTGAGTTTGATTCCCGGGCAGGGTGAAACCTTGGGCAAGTTTCCTTACTCCACACACACGCCTGATAATAATCCCTCAAGAAAAAAAAAATAAGTTGGTCACTCAATCCACGACTGTTTGTGGGGACGCTGCTGTGTGCAATTGGCCTCCACGTTTCGCCCACAAAATACACAGTTGCTACACTTTACAGTATATTCTGTGAAGCGTTTTGAGACGTCTCGACGACGTGATCAGGTGCTGTATCAAATGCAAGGATTATTATTATTATTAATAATAACTTTGACCCAGCGCCCTTCAGTCGGGTAGCATCTCGGAGCGCTTAACAGTGGCGGAGCCTGACACCAATCAGGTGGGAGGGGTGGAGGTGACCGTAAGCATGGTCAAAGAGGAAGGTCTTCGGGCATGATCTGAAGGCAGGAAGGAGGGGGCAAGGTGGAGGGAATGAGGGAGAGAGTTCCAGAGTTTTGGAGGCGTAGTGGATGAAGGGATGGCCATCAATGGTGAAGTGGAGGTGATGAGGGACAAGCAGGAGGTCAGAGCCAGCCCAGGGTAGGTGGTGGGTGGACAAGTGGGGACTAAGCAGGTCAAAGGGGTAGGGAGGTGCCAAGAAGTGAAGTGATTTCTAGGTCCAAGTGGGGTCTCTTCGGGGCTGAACTGGCTCAAGGCGACAGAATCGAGCCCATCCTCCATGACGGTCTCTAGTCCGGTTCCTGAGCCAGGAGGGGCCACGTATTCCGGGCACTGCTGATGACAGTTCATCGGCAGACTTGGGAATCCTCCTACTCAACTCCTGGTAATCCTGGCTGACTATCCTCCAGATAAAATCATTCGCTTATTTCGTGGCTGTTTGACATTGCTGTAAGCAAAATGGCTGCTACATTCCCCTACAAACACACAGTGACTGTACTTGGCAGTGATTCCATGTGAAATAATTTTGAGACATTTTGACAATATAACTCTCTATCAAAGGCAAAGTTCATTCTTATCAATATCAACCAGAACATGAATTATGTGGGTTTAGTTGGTTAGACTCCAGCAGTTATCCCAACGCACACGCTGTGAGCTCTCGAGGACACTACCCCGTGTGAAGGCGCTATAGAAATGCAAGTTGTTGTTGACTCACACACCAATACACCTACACACTCACACTCAAGACATACTCAAATACTCACGCTCACATACACAGACACATTCACACTCACACAGACACACACGCGCACATAAGACATTTGCGCACACACACACATACACATACAGACAGACACACGGCGTGATCAGGAGGTGGAATGTAAACTGTTAGCAGAACCAGATAGATGATCATTTTAAAAAGGGAAATAGGCACATAGTTGAAAAAGAAAAATACAAACAGTGTGTGTTTGGGAGGACACAGTGGGGTGGGGAGCGGGGGGCTGCGTGTGGGGGTTTGGGGTAAATGTGACGGGGGGCTGTGGTTGGTAGGGGCTGTATGGAGGGCTGTGTGCGGGGAGAGAGGAAGGGCAGAGCTCTTTCAGAATCCGGCATAGAGAGACATATAGACAGACAGACAGAGGGATAGACAGACAGACGGACAGACAGAGAGAAAGGGACAGAGAAAGAGAGATATACTTACAGAGAAAGGGACTTGGAGAGAGAGAAACCGACAGAGAGCGTGTGAGAGAGAGACAAACAAAGAGAATAGGGGCATTGGGAGACAGACAGAGAGAAAGAGAGAGAGAAGACGGATAGACAGAGAGAGAGAAGAGGAGAATCTTCGAGACACGGAGAACAGACACCAGAAGGAGATTCAGACAGAGATGGTGAAGGAGACGCGGGGGAGAGAGGGAGAGAGAGAGAAGCTGACCTTGACACAGAGACAAAGGCATTGGTGGAGAAGAGTACAGACAGCACAGGTGGTTCAGCCGGTGATCATTAATCAATGTCTGTGACATGGTATCTTGTTCCCCCCCCACCCCACACCCGCAACCAAGCGAGAGAGATCGACCGACACCAACCCAGTCACCCAGTCAAATTTTGTGGGCGAAATGCGGCAGCCAATCGCCCACAGCAGTGGCTCACAAACAGTCGAGGATTGAGTGACCATATTTTTTTTAAAAAAGGGATTATTCCCCCCGGAAAGCGATCCGCCAATCCACTAACGGCCGGGTTCCTACTCACTGCCGGTAAACAGAGGCGAGTGGAGTGAGGGAACTCGCCCAATGTTTCGCCCCTGCCCCGGGAATCAAACCCGGGTCCTCTCGCTCGCGAGGCGAGGGCTCGAACCCCTGAGCTACAGGACTCCACATAGGGAGGAGGGAGTAATAATGCCTCAAAAAATAATTTGGTCACTCACTCCACAACTGTTTATGGGACACTCCTGTGCGCAATTGGCTGCCTCGTTTTGCTCACAAAATACTCTTTCCCGGTGTCCTGCCAACAATCCCCACATATCACCAATTCTCGACTGTTTGCGGAGATCTCACAGTGGCAAATTGGCTGCCGCCGTCTCCACAAAACACAAAGTCACTACACTTCACAGTGAATCCTGTGGAAGGCTTTGAGACGTCCTCCTGACATGACAGGCACTGTGTCAGGTGTGAGGATTACTCATTCATTCATTCATTGATTTATTGATTTATTTAAGTGCAAGCTGTTGTTTTCCATCTGGGGTCAGGGGGTGGTGGGTTCGAGCCAAAGGTCGGGGTCTCTGAGCGCTGGGGGGAGAGAAGAGAGAGAGAGAAAGACCATTGTCGGAGACGCCGTCCTTCAGATGAGACGTTAAACCTCACTCCCTGTCTGTGCCGTTCAGGCGGACGTTAAAGATTCCGTGACGATTCCGTGATGCTGTCGGGAAAAGAGAGGAGAGTCTCTCTCTCTCTCTCTCTCTCTCCCGGTGTCCGGGCCGACAATCCCCAGATACGATCACTCGCTCACTTTTTGGATCGTTGCTGTGTGCAAATTGGCTTCCATATTAGCTCACAAATCACACAGTCACTGTACAGAAAAGCTTTGTGAAGTGCCTTCAGACATTTTGACGTCATAAGGTGCTGCATCAAATAGAAGATTATTAATATTTATGATGTGTTGCTGCTCTCCCTCCAGAGCCGAAGGCCAAATCTTCAATAGCTTTTAGATTGAGCCCATCATCAAACCTCATCCCAGTAAATTTGTTTCACACGTACTCCCAGCCCTGACACACTCACTGACACACTCACCCACACAGTCACTGACACAGTCTCGCTCCCCCACTGGCGCTCTCTACTCTACCCCATTCCCTGCTCTCTCTCTCCCCATGGTGTCTGTGCTGGGGGTCGCTCCCCCACTGGCGCTCTCTACTCTAACCCCATTCCCTGCTCTCTCTCTCTCTCCCCATGGTGTCTGTGCTGGGGCTCACTCCCCCACTGGAGCTCTCTACTCCAACCCCATTCCCCGCTCTCTCCCCATCGTGCGTGTGCTGTTTGGAGGTGAGAGAGTGCAGCAGAGTATCAGTGAGAGATGCGATCAGTATTCTCGCTGTGTATTATTATGTAGTTTTTTTTAGTTATCAACCTGAGTGATGGTGAGAGGCCGTGTTTATTAGTTCCCAGGAGATATTACAGGACTGTGCAGTGAGTATCCGAATGAAGCCCCGCAGGCGGTCTGGAATATTAGTTGCGTTGGGGAACCTGTGAATTAGACGGATCACAGAGAGACTTTGCTCCGTACCTTTCCTGCAGCAACTTCGTGTTAGTGTAGGGACTGTCAGCGGCTGATAGCGTCTCGACTACACACTGCCCCCGGCGATGTGGGGAGCAATCCCCCGAACCCCACCCCTCGAGTCTGCTTTTATTCTATTTGGGTCACAGCTCAGAAGCTGTGCGGTTTGTCTGACAATTGCCGGTGTGTGGTGTGAGAGCTCCACACGCGGCTCTCCTTCTTATTCTCTGTCTCGCTCTCTTAAGTGTTTAGCCCGAACCGTGAGGCCCTTTCGGTACGGAATCTAACAAACAAAATCACTGGCGCACTCGCGACTATTTGCAGGAAGTCGCTGCGTATAAATTGGCTGCCACATTCACCGACAAAATGCACAGTCACTACATTTCACAATGAATCCCAACATGAAAGGCTGTGCGTCAAACACAAGGTCAGTGTTCCTCCCGGAGCCTTGAATCATCCTCCAGACGCTTCAGGGTGATTTGCAGGATTTCACTGTAAAGTGTAGTAACTGTGTTGACGTGCTATATCAAATGCAAGGATTGTTGTATTATCAGAACAGCCTCTGATCAGTGTAATAGTAGTAATAATAATAATAATACAGCGCCTGATCAGGTCATCGAGACGTCTCAAACGCTTCACAGAATGTACTGTAAGGTGTAGTGGCTGTGTATTTTGTGGGCGAAACACGGGAGCCAATTGCACACAGTAGGTCCCCACAAACAGTCGTGGATTGAGTGACCAAATTATTATTTGTTTTTGGAGGGATTATTATCCAGGCTGGAAAGAGTAAAATTGACTGACACTCACCCTTACGCACACACACACACACACATTGCCGTGGGTGGGGGGGAGTGTATGTG